TCCATGTATAATACATAAGGGGGGATATGATCTCCATGTATAATACATAAGGGGGGATATGATCTCCATGTATAATACATAAGGGGGGATATGATCTCCATGTATAATACATAAGGGGGGATATGATCTCCATGTAGAATACATAAGGGGGGATATAATCTCCATGTATAATACATAAGGGAGGATATGATCTCCATGTATAATACATAAGGGGGGATATGATCTCCATGTATAATACATAAGGGGGGATATGATCGCCATGTATACTACATAAGGGGGGATATGATCTCCATGTATACATAAGGGGGGGTATGATCTCCATGTATAATACATAAGGGGGGATATGATCACCATGTATAATACATAAGGGGTGGATAGGATCACCATGTATAATACATAAGGGGGGATATGAACTCCATGTATAATACATAAGGGGGATATGATCTCCATGTATAATACATAAGGGGGGATATGATCTCCATGTATAATACATAAGGGGGGATATGATCTCCATGTATAATACATAAGGGGGGATATGATCTCCATGTATAATACAAAAGGGGGGGATATGATCTCCATGTATAATACATAAGGGGGGATATGATCTCCATGTATAATACATAAGGGGGGATATGATCTCCATGTATAATACATAAGGGGGGATATGATCTCCATGTATACATAAGGGGGGGTATGATCTCCATGCATAATACATAAGTGGGGATATGATCACTATGTATAATACATAAGGGGGGATATGAACTCCATGTGTAATACATAAGGGGGGATATGATCTCCATGTATAATACATAAGGGGGGATATGATCTCCATGTATAATACATAAGGGGGATATGATCTCCATGTATAATACATAAGGGGGATATGATCTCCATGTATACATAAGGGGGGGTATGATCTCCATGTATAATACATAAGGGGGATATGATCTCCATGTATAATACATAAGGGGGATATGATCTCCATGTATACATAAGGGGGGGTATGATCTTCATGTATAATACATAAGGGGGATATGATCTCCATGTATAATACATAAGGGGGGTATGATCTCCATGTATAATACATAAGGGGGATATGATCTCCATGTATAATACATAAGGGGGATATGATCTCCATGTATAATACATAAGGGGGGATATGATCTCCATGTATACATAAGGGGGGGTATGATCTCCATGTATAATACATAAGGGGGATATGATCTCCATGTATAATACATAAGGGGGATATGATCTCCATGTATAATACATAAGTGGGGATATGATCACTATGTATAATACATAAGGGGGGATATGAACTCCATGTGTAATACATAAGGGGGGATATGATCTCCATGTATAATACATAAGGGGGGATATGATCACCATGTATAATACATAAGGGGGGATATGATCTCCATGTATAATACATAAGGGGGGATATGATCTCCATTAATACATAAGGGGGGATATGATCTCCATGTATAATACATAAGGGGGATATGATCTCCATGTATAATACATAAGGGGGGATATGATCTCCATGTATAATACATAAGGGGGATATGATCTCCATGTATAATACATAAGGGGGGATATGATCTCCATGTATAATACATAAGGGGGGATATGATCTCCATGTATAATACATAAGGGGGGATATGATCTCCATGTATAATATATAAGGGGTGATATTATCTCCATGTATAATAAATAAGGGGGATATGATCTCCATGTATAATACATAAGGGGGATATGATCTCCATGTATAATACATAAGGGGGGGATATGATCTCCATGTATAATACATAAGGGGGGATATGATCTCCATGTATAAATACATAAGGGGGGATATGATCTCCATGTATAATACATAAGGGGGGATATGATCTCCATGTATAAATACATCAGTGGTTCATATAGTGAACTCGGTGTAGAGTTATTCACCCTGAGGTCATCACAGAGGACAAGGGGGCATTCTTTACGTCTGGAGGAAAAGAAATTTAATCTCCAAACACGGAAAGGTTTCTTCACAGTGAGAACTGTGAAAATGTGGAATAGACTCCCCCAAGAGTTGGTTCTGGACAGCTCAGTGGATTGCTTTAAAAAAGTCCTGGATTCTTTCCTAGATACACAGAATATAACTGGATATAACATTTATAGGTAAAGTTGATCCAAGGAATTTTGTTCCCTGCAGGAGGAAATTGGACCGTGCTTTGCTGGGGGTTTTTTTTGCCTTCCTCTGGATCAGCTGTGGGTATAGGATTATACATTTTTTTATTTTTATTTTTTTTAATTAATGATTGAACTGGATGGACTTTTCTCTTTTTTCAGCCAGACTAACTATGTACAGTAACTATAGTTTAATGTTTATAGGGGATTCAGGAATGGAGGGTTTGGTTTGGGCTATGATTTAAGTTTTGCTTTATGTCTGATTATTATCAGTATTGTTATGACACAGAAGTATCATCCATCTAAGATACTTATCATACTATCTATGTCATTTGTCTTTTCCATATACAGGTATAAGCACAAGTTATTTTCTATTGGGGAATTATTGATTCTAAAATAATGCAAGGTGTTTCAAAAATATGACAATGTTCAACTGATCCTGTGAATTGTGTAGTCTACTGGTAACAGATATAATTCCTGGAGAAGGTTTGTTTGGTCTAACCAATCTCGATTTGATCAGATGCTTTGAAGGGCAGAGGAGATAAATGGGGCCTAGTAGACCTCGGATCTTTCCATAATGAGGACCTGTCATGGCCCATGTTATCACAAGGGATGTTGTTCATCTCTTGTGACAGCAATAAAGTTGATTAAAACAAATTAAAAGGGACAGAAAAATTTAATAATAATAATAATAATAATAATAATAAACAAAAAAATAATAAATAATAGTAAAACAATTATAAATAATAATAAAAAAATCATATTAATAAATTAAAAATAAATACAACTAAAAATATAATTTTAAAAAGTGCCCCTGATACCCCCCTCCCCCATGCTAATGTCAGCATGTGAAAGCATACATGAGTCCTGCATGCATATGTAAATGGCGATCGCCCCACACATGAGGTATCTCCACGGACTTCAATGTGAGAGCAATAATTCTAGTGCCAGACTTTCTGTGTAACTCTAAAGCGATAAACTGGTAAATGCTTTTAAAGCGTGGCCTGTGAAGATTTTCAGGTACCATAGGTTGTCGCCGTTCCACGGGTGTACACAAATTTTTATTTTTTTTTTTGAGAAAAATTTTATTAGGTTTTAACAGATTACAAATACATAGAAATAATGACACAGTCATGGTACCCCCCATGTGACATCAATTCTAGCGCAATTTTAAAACTTGACATATTTGGTATCTTTTAACTTGGCATAACATTATCTTTTTATATTTTGTCAAAAAATTGTGTATTACATTATGGGGTATATTTACTAAAACTGGTGCACTCTGAATCTGGTGCAGCTGTGCATGGTAGCCAATCAGCTTCTAACCTCAACTTGTTAAATTACGCTTTGGCAATTAATCCTGGATGATGATCGGTTTCTTTGCAGAGCTGCACCAGATTTAGCAGGCTTCAGTTTTAGTAAATAACCCCCTGTGTTTGTGTGCACTAAAAGTGTATTTTTCCTAAAAATGTCCTTTTTAAAAAATATCTGTGAAAATATAACATAAAAAAACTCCAATTGCAATTTTTTTAATTTCTAGGGCCTCTGCTTTCAAAAATATATAATATTTAAGGGTTATAACTAATTTTCTATCAAAAAATACAGATTTTTACACTTAGGAGAGAACTGTCAGAATTGACCCGGGGTCAAGTTGTTAAATGTCTAATTTCTCTTGAACACATATAATCTTTGTTTTACAAATAGAAATATATACATGGCTAAGGATTCCTAGAGCACTATGGGCTAACTGAAGAGACATAACAGCAGGAAAAACTTGCCTTGCAGCTCCCTTGTCTGACTGAAAACTGTTACTGAGCCGTCTCATAAGGGATGATTCACTTTTGTGGTGTCTCATTATAAATAGGAGTCTGCTTTCAACATAACAGGGATACATTGCTTAATATCAGAAACTAGAGCTTTATTAGCTGGCTGCAAAGAACACAACGTAATAATATAGAGACACCATTGGATTGCTAAAGTGTTACTACACCACCAACAGTACAATCAGTCGTACATGCAGTAAAGCATGCTTGTTATACCTAAAGGGTTAATCCTCTGCATTGTGTAAGAAGGCTGTTTGATCCTGTATTCTCTTATCCTCCCCTTCTTCCAGTGGCCCCCTCTTATTTCCTGATAAGGCATATGGTGTGGAGTCACTATGCTCAGTTTGGTGTGTATTGCTAGAGTTTATTTTTTCTTGGGAGAGTGCATGTGATCAGCACGGGGTCAATCAGCACTGTCCAGAAAGAGGTCAGGGGTTCTGCATCCTCCTAGAGAAGTACAAAAAACTCCTCCTGCGAGCTTTATTCAGTACTCTGCTGAACACTGATAGAAGTCACAACAAGACTGCTGTAACTGCTGATGAGAAAAGGTATTTAGCAGTTTATATTTACTGAAATAATTGCATTTCCATGTTCTGTGTACTGTGGGAGACCACATATAGTGAATGCATTGTCCGGGGAGACCAGATATAGTGAATGCAGGGTCCGGTGAGACCAGAAATAGTGAATACAGGGTCCGGGGAGACCAGATATAGTGAATGCAGGGTCCGGGGAGACCAGATATAGTGAATGCAGGGTCCGGGGAGAGTACATATAGTGAAATGCAGGGTCCGGTGAGACCAGAAATAGTGAATACAGGGTCCGGGGAGACCAGATATAGTGAATGCAGGGTCCGGGGAGAGTACATATAGTCAATGCAGGGTCTGGGGGAGAGCGGATATAGTGAATGCAGGGTCCAGGGAGAGCGGATATAGTGAATGCAGGGTCCAGGGAGACCAGATATAGTGAATGCAGGGTACGGGGAGAGCGGATATAGTGAATGCAGGGTCCGGGGAGACCGGATATAGTGAATGCAGGGTCCGGGGAGACCGGATATAGTGAATGCAGAGTCCGGGGAGACCAGATATAGTGAATGCAGGGTCCTGGGAGACCAGATATAGTGAATGCAGGGTCCGGGGAGACCAGATATAGTGAATGCAGGGTCCGGGGGAGACCAGATATAGTGAATGCAGGGTCCGGGGAGACCAGATACAGTGAATGCAGGGTCCTGGGAGACCAGATATAGTGAATGCAGGGTCCAGGGAGACCAGATATAGTGAATGCAGGGTCCGGGGAGACCAGATATAGTGAATGCAGGGTCCGGGGAGACCAGATATAGTGAATGCAGGGTCTGGGGAGACCAGATATAGTGAATGCTGGGTCATGAGTTTAGTAACACTTTAAGGATTTAAAACCAACACCCACCTTCAGTAGAAGAGATATAATCTACTCATCTTTGCAGTGTACCTTTTTTATTACCTCATCCCTTCTCTTACCGAGAGCATCTGATGCCTGTGTCCCCCCACCATGCACCATTGTTCTGTCTTCTGACCCCTACATCACTGCTGATTTCTGTAGCAGGGCACACACTCCCAAAAAAAGGTCTTTCACAGGACCAGGGGCGGACTGACCATTTGGAAACTCGGGCACTGCCCGAGGGCACGGGGTCAGTAGGGGGCCCCATGAGATGCCCTGGTACCTTTTCATAGGCTTTTTTGAGTTTGGGCAAGGACACAGGGGCCCCATGATCCCCTATTGCCTGGGGGCCCCATGGGTTGTCAGTCTGCCCCTGCACAGGACTGGTTCACTTAACCCCCCAATTACTCTTACATCACACAGATTTGTAGATACCCTGATATCTGAAAAATTTGCTGCATCCAATAGTTTCACCAATTAGTTCCCCGTCACCCATTCAAATGATAAAGAACTCACGAAGTTCTTATCACTAGGAATCAGGCAAATGTACTAATTGCTTATATTTTTCTATTCCAAAACCTGTTCATTTCTCTACGTTATCATTAAAATAGAGGTTAGAGCCTTTCTTTAAAAATATATAAAAATACATCTAATGTCTGGTTTTATTTCTCTACAGAACCTGTTCCTACCCCAAGTATAAACATTACAGACAAGAAGGAGACTGATGACTGGTGCAATGTGACCCTTGATTGTTCTGGTCCAAAAAACAAATCATCGTTGTCCTATACCTGGAAGTACAGACATAGAAACTCTACCTATCAGCTGTATAATATTTCTGGAGACATAATCCAGACTGCATTGAAGAATGACCCCTGGGATGTGGAGTTAATGTGTATAGTACAAAATCCTGCTGAAGCGAAGAATGCCTCTGTGAAGGACTTCTGTTGGCATAATAGAACATTAAATAGTTCTCAGAAAGGTAGGAGACATATCAGGATTTTACAGAACACCTGCCATTTAACAGTATAATGGATGAAGTGGAAGCGGTGGGTAAGGTCCACAGTGACTATAATCAGAAGTCTGGAAAGGCAGAGAGCAGAAAACATGTAAAGGGGTGTTAGTTTCATGTTTTTTTCCATCTAGTGAGACTTTTGGTGCAGTTCTCACTTTCTAATACTTGATGTCCGTACCTGTCCCTAGTTCAGTCATTGAAATTATGTTTGAGAAATATACTTCTTTTTGTTCTGCCAGGGGGAAGTCAGGCATGGCACCGGTGTTACTTCTACTGTCAACTCTGAGCGCCATTTTGGGGGAGTCTGTGATTTATTGGACACTGAGTTCTTTGCATATCTGGTCAGCCATCTTTGAGACAGAGAGGTCTAACATAGCCCCTTATTTGTGGAAGAGCCCTGCAATGTGGAGGAAGTAGGTAGGGACAGAGTATTGCTTATGAAGCTGTGAGGGAGAGATGAGCCTAGGCACAGGTTCTTGTGGAATAGAGGCAGTCTAGGAATATTCTGAATACTGCCTGTTTGTGATGGGATTCCTGACAGAAAACGTGTAAAGGGGGTGTTAGTTTAATATTTTTTACATCTAGTGAGATTTCTGGTGTAGTTCTCACTTTCTAATACTTGATGTCCCTACCTGTCCCCTAGTTCAGTCAATGAAATTCTGTTTGAGAGATATACTTCTTTTTGTTCTGCCAGGGGGAAGTCAGGCATGGCACCGGTGTTTCTTCTACTATCAACTCTGAGCGCCATTTTGGGGGTGTCTGTGATTTATTGGACACTGAGTTCTTTGCATATTTGGTCAGCCATCTTTGAGACAGAGAGGTCTAACATAGCCCCTTATTTGTGGAAGAGCCCTGCAATGTGGAGGAAGTAGGTAGGGACAGAGTATCGCTTATGAAGCTGTGAGGGAGAGATGAGCCTAGGCACAGGTTCCTGTGGAGTAGAGGCAGTCTAGGAATATTCTGGATACTGCCTGTTTGTGATGGGATCCCTGGCGATGGGAAGAAGGAATCTCTTTGTGTTTGCTCAGTGTACCAGTTTGGCATGAGCCTGCCCACTGGTGGGACAGAGCAAAAGGTTACATTGATCAACCACAAGCAATCCCGTTAAAGGAAGAGAGCCTTCAGCAACCTACTGAATGTGAGCACTGCATGGCTACCACATTATTAAGACTGTTACGACTATTGTACATTTGATGTTGATTAATGCTTAGTTGTTAAAAATGACTCTGGTATGACATTACCATTATTTGATCCTTCTGCACCATAGCCACACATAAGCCCCACCCACAGGGTCATCACCAGTATATGGTCTCTCTGCAGATGATCTTTACTGATTATTGACTTACCATGCCTTGCTCTTCATTGTTTGTCTGTGTGGAGGCAGCCATGTTGGTAGAAGCAGGGCTTTGCTTCCTCATGTCAGAGCCTCCAGCAAGGTGAACAGTGAGTAGCACATTAGGAAAATCACCAAATTTCACTCCAAATACCTTAAGACTAGGAGACAGCAATGCCTTAGATCTCATACGGCACATATACAATTATAAGGCTGCAGGCAGAGATGTGCCTAGACAGGGAAGTATTTTTTTCAGAGAACTTAGAACAATTGCAACTGGCATAATAGAATATTTCTTATTACATAGCAAATCATTTTTTGAGTTCATGTCCACTTTAACCCCTTCTCGCCAACTGTGCACATGTATCGGCTCACTGAAGTGGGTCTTTATCATGTAAAGCCACATACAGTATATGCATACCTGTGTTTGTGCCGAGAGCCCGCAATGTGTGTTTTTAATGAGAATAAGAATTTTTGTCCTTGGATTTTATCATTGGGTATTTGGTGGGTGAAAAAAAACATGCTTTTTGGTATATACGGTTTGCATTGGAACACTTTTGTTTAAATTTTTAAATAGATTGCATGCTTTAAAAGTGGTATACACTCCAGAGAGTGATATATCATATTACCCTCGGTACAAATCATTAGTAAAACCTCATCTGGAATATGCAGTTCAGTTTTGGGCACCAATTCACAAAAAGAACATTGGGGAACTGGAGAAAGTACAGAGAAGGGCCGCTAAAAACTGATAAGAGGCATGGAGGAGCTCAGCTATGAGGAAAGCGTAAAGAGGAACTGAATTTATTCTCTCTTTAGAAGAGGAGATTAAGGGGGGATATGATCTCCATGTATAATACATAAGGGGGATATGATCTCCATGTATAATACATAAGGGGGGATATGATCTCCATGTATAATACATAAGGGGGAATATGATCTCCATGTATAATACATAAGGGGGATATGATCTCCATGTATAAATACATAAGGGGGGATATGATCTCCATGTATAATACATAAGGGGGGATATGATCTCCATGTATAATACATAAGGGGGGATATGATCAACATGTATAATACATGAGGAAGGAAATGATCTCCATGTATAATACATAAGGGGGGATATGATCACCATGTATAATACATAAGGGGGGAATGATCACCATGTATAATACATAAGGGGGGATATGATCACCATGTATAATACATAAGGGGGATATGATCTCCATGTATAATACATAAGGGGGGATATGATCTCCATGTATAAATACATAAGGGGGGATATGATCACCATGTATAATACATAAGGGGGGATATGATCACCATGTTATAATACATAAGGGGGGATATGATCTCCATGTATAATACATAAGGGAGATATGATCTTCATGTATAATACATAAGGGGGATATGATCTCCATGTATAATTCATAAGGGGGGATATGATCTCCATGTATAATACATAAGGGGGATATGATCTTCATGTATAATACATAAGGGGGATATGATCTCCATGTATAATTCATAAGGGGGGATATGATCACCATGTATAATACATAAGGGGGATATGATCTCCATGTAAAATACATAAGGGGGGATATGATCTCCATGTATAATACATAGGGGGGATATGATCTCCATGTATAATACATAAGGGGGATATGATCTCCATGTATAATACATAAGGGGGGATATGATCTCCATGTATAAATACATAAGGGGGATATGATCACCATGTATATTACATAAGGAGGGATATGATCTCCATGTATAATACATAAGGAGGGGATATGATCTCCATGTATAATACATAAGGGGGGATATGATCTCCATGTATAATACATAAGGGGGGATATGATCTCCATGTATAATACATAAGGGGGGATATGATTTCCATGTATAATACATAAGGGGGGATATGATCTCCATGTATAAATACATCAGTGGTTCATATAGTGAACTCTGTGTAGAGCTATTCACCCCGAGATCATCACAGAGGACAAGGGGGCACTCTTTACATCTGGAGGAAAAGAAATGTAATCTCCAAACACGGAAAGGTTTCTTCACAGTGAGAACTGTGAAAATGTGGAATAAATTCCCTCAAGAGTTGGTTCTGGCCAGCTCAGTGGATTGGTTTAAAAAAGTCCTGGATTCTTTCTTAGATACACAGAATATAACTAGAACCATATATAACCATTAAAAAAAAAATGCATAATCCTATACCCACAGTTGATCTAAAGGAAGGCAAAAAACACAGCAAAGCATGATGCAATTTGCTCCTGCAGGGAACAAAATTCCTTCCTGATCCCCGAGAGGCAATCGGATATTCCCTGGATCAACTTTACCTATAAATGTTAGTATCCAGTTATATTCTGTGTATCTAAAAAAGAAATCCAGGACTTTTTTAAAGCAATCCACTGAGCTGGCCAGAACCAACTCTTGAGGGAGTCTACTCCACCTTTTCACAGCTCTCACTGTGAAGAAAAACCTTTCCGTGTTTGGAGATTAGGTCTCTTTTCCTCCAGACGTAAAGAGTGCCCCCTTGTCCTCTGTGATGACCTCAGGGTGAATAACTCTACACAGAGTTCACACATATATGAACCACTGATGTATTTATACATG